CCTCCCATGCCTTTGTCTTTTTTGCCAACGTTTCACTGTCATAGCCTTTACTTTCCCCTTCTGGAAAGTCTCTACCCAATTCGGCCCTTAAACGTTTTTCTTGTTCGCTGAAATTTGTTGTTCGACTTGGTTTATAAGCCATATTGCAGAGACACAACCACTATCTGGAAATGTGCATACGAAATAACTCCGCAGACAATGCATTTCCTCGTGAGACACGGTTTAGCCGTTGACTTGCAACAACACGGTTCAGTCGTGTTTTAATAATGTATTTTAAGCATCGTCTAGTCGTTGTTTATCGAGACAACGTCTAAACCGCGGCTCAGCCCTAAACAGTGGTTAACTTAGACTTCGTTTAAATAACCGGCCCTATGAGTCTCACTGCTTACGCATGCGAGAGTAGTAGTATAGGAGGGACCGGTTACGCCGTTTTTTGGGCAGGAATAAATTAACGCCAATGACGCCATAACCTTTGGTCTTGATCTCATGAATAAAATGCGCAGGGATGCCATTAAGATAAGGTCATGTGCTATTTTTAGTTGGTTTAGGATTTCTAGTTACTTTAAGGTCGATAAACGTCTTCGTTTTCGATTGGTTAGTTAGAAAATAAGAAACGTTTTTATTGGTTAATTCATACTGTCTTAGGAGTAAAGTCGAATTAGTCAATTGTCAGTTAACCCCATCCAGACCCTCCGAAAACAGATTCACCCTGAAGCAAGTCATGCTGAACTGTATTTTTTAAAGTTAATCTACAGTTTGCACTACATCGACCCTACATCGACCCCACATCGACCCTACGTCGACCCCACATCGACCCCACGTCGACCCACATCGACCCCACATCGACCCCACATCGACCCTACATCGACCCCACATCGACCCCACATCGACCCCACATCGACCCCACATCGACCCCACATTGACCCTATCAAAACAATCAAAATGAGGAGGAAAAGGAAAAACAATCAAAATGAGGAGGTGGAGGAGGGAAAACAATAGAAGTGAGGAGGAGGAGGAGGGGAAGGAAGAGGAGGGAAAATAATAAAATTGTAGAGGAGGGAATAATAACATTGAGGAGGGAAATTATGAAATTGAAGGAAAATATTAAAATTGTGGTGGAGGGGAATAAAAAACATTGAGGAAGGAAAATGATAAAAAATTGTGGAGGAGGGAATAAAAACATTGAGGAGGGAGAATAATAAAATTGTAGAGAAGGGGAAAAGAAAAAATTGAGGAGGGAAATAAAATTGAAAAGGGAGGGGTAGGTAAAACATTGTGCGCAGTGTAAGAAAAGAGCTAGTTTGTCTTTGCCCTCATTAATATGCACGATTTGCCCGCCAAAAGTCAGTGAACCGGAACTAGGACTATCACAGCAGCAGGAGATAGGACTTGCATAATTACATTACGCCTCCGTGATTTTAAGTCACAGAAAAGTTTGACTTCACTCCTCAGACAGTATGAATTAACCAATAAAAAAGTTTCTTATTTTCTAACTAACCAATCGAAAACGAAGACGTTTATCGACCTTAAAGTAACTAGAAATCCTAAACCAACTAAAAATAGCACATGACCTTATCTTAATGGCATCCCTGCGCATTTTATTCAAGAGATCAAGACAAAAGGTTATGACGTCATTGGCGTTAATTTATTCCTGCCCAAGTTAATGAAATTCCTGCCCAAAAAAACGGCGTAACCGGTCCCTCCTATACTACTGAGAGTAATAAAGGGCAATCAGGTTGTTTGTCACTCGACAGTAAAACCTAAGGTAAATGTCACTTGTCGGTTAAATTTTAGGCAATCACGTGTTCCCAAAGACCACTTAACAAGAAGTTTGGACAACAAGTTTATTGAGTCCGATTCGACAACAAGTACACTGAGTAGCGAATGACGTCGTAACTGAATCAATAGACTCCCTCGGGAAGGAGGACTGGGTATTGTGCTTGCCCCCCCCTCGAATTGATCTTATGACGGACTGATTCATGCAGCGAGCCTTCCGATAAACTTTTCATGACGTCACTTATGATCGACGCGTGATTAATTAACCAAAATTAATTAATGTAATTATTGAACGAATTTTTTTTTACAGTTAATATCTTGCCTATTCGTCAATTGTCAGTTAACCCCATCCAGACCCTCCGAAAACAGATTCACCGTGAAGCAAGTCATGCTGAAGGGTAATTTTTAAAGTTAATCTACAATTTGCACTGGGTTGCCGCGCCGTTAAGGCAACTCCGCCAAGTTTTGTGGAACTACTGCGGAGAAACCAGTTTTTAAGACTTCTGCTTCTGAGAATTTATGCGCGTGTTTCTTTTCCAAAGTTAAGTGAGGAGGGTGGAGTTCAATGCGGGGTGTGGGAAACGAGTGTAGAACAGCGAGTGGGGGATGATGATATGGGTAGGCCTCCGAACTTAAAAATTTCTGAATATGCGATTGCGAGAGGCTGGTGTCGAGGCAGACGCAGAGTGATTAAAACACTTGTAAATAGACACAAAGTCGACACGGAGGTATAGAGGTTCCCCAATGGGTTTTTCCGGATCCGTGCGGTTTCGTTGCGTTGCGTTACGTTATTCTAAAATTTCTGAGAGTGATTCTATTTCTGTAAGGGCATGAACTTTCCAATTCGTTTCTTTTGTTCAGAGTACATAAGGGTTTTTTCCAAAAAAAAATTTTTTTTCTTGGAGGCACAGATTACAATTTTTGCTAGCCTTGTCATATGGTTTACAATTACTGAGTACTTACCCCTGCACGTGAAAGGATCTGTTGGCATCTTTGAGGGTCCACACCTGTTTGGACAGTTCCGTCTCGTTTCTTCTGTTCGCGTGTCGGAAAGGATGTCAAGTGATCTTATTTCTGTACTGTTCTTTGAAGTTAGTGGCTACTGAGTCCAATGTATGATTCGTTGTTGTCCCAGTCGTTACAGTCGCTTGATAAATCACGTTTTTTCTGAGGCAATTACCGTCAAGAAACCGGAATGCCCTCTTGAAGGTAACTGCCTGCAACCGACTAACTTCAAAGAACGGTGCAGAAATCACTTGACATCATTAAAATTGTGACTCGTTGAAATACTTCTAAGGACCACTAACTTACTGCCCTGCGTCAGATAAATGCTTTTATTCGGCCTTTTAATGATTTTTCATCGTGTTGAATTGCCAAGTAGTAGAGTGAGTTGATTTTTTTGCTAAACCAAGTTCAAAAATCCAGGTAAAACTATATATATATAATTATATTTAACAATTATTCCTCGAGCCCAAATAGGCTCTGAGTCAATAGCAAGTGAGACCAAAGGCCGAAGGGGCTATTTACTCAGGGGCCATGAGGACGAGAGGAATAATTGTTTTAGTAGAATCCAACTAGTTGGTCAAAAATGTCGAGACAAAACAACTTTAGCTAGCAAAACGCGATTCAACCGCCATTGTTTTGGTTTTCAAAGCCGGCGCTTTGCGCTACCGTACCGTACCGTACCGTACCGTAGTGGGCTATAACATATAGCCTAGTAGTAGCTAAACCAATCAGAACGCAGCATTGATAATAGACCACTAGTTGGATTTTACTAAATATATATACCTTCTTTATATACAGCTACTTGTACATAGCACCTGTATCCGTTGTTCGATTAGTTTACAGCTTGTTGACTGTTGTTCTTCTTCTCTTGTTAAAGTAAACTGAATTACGTAGGCTAGTAAGCAATCCATAATTCAAGGTAAACCTTCCTCAGATTGCCGGACAGCTACCGATGGCTAAGATTGATGCACTTACACTTACCTAATTATTCAAATTAACGTTTAATTACAAATAGAGTAAAAACAACGAAAGACTACCATTTCTCCGAGAAGATACATTTTTATTATGATTCACCAAACAATCAATTGGCCAAATCAACGCGTTCCTGTTTTTCTGTGTGACGTGCAATGCAAATTAACAAGCACAGCCAAACTTTCAAATCGAAGCAGTTTTCTCGCCGCTTTTTCCCCGAGATATGCTGTCTTGTCATGCAGGTCCATAGGAACAAATTTGAGAGTGAGAGGGGACAAAAGTTAGCAGTGCTGGTGGCGTGCTTAACTGTTATATGAACCCAAGGCCCATTTTTGTAAAAGAGGGGGTTTCGAGAGCAATCCCCCGCGGGGGACTGATGACAGCCCCTTCTCCTTTATTGATATCACGTTACCATGTGGGTATTCTTGGTCTGCAACCACGTGACAAGGCGACCATGTTGGGGGTCAATACAATAAAATTGTTTTCTCGAAGAATTTACTTGAAAATAGAGGTTACTTCCTAGAGAAGAGAAATGCTTTTGTTCTTGACGACCAAGATGGCCGCTGTGACGTCACCTGCAAACCAGAAGTATAAGGAGTCACTTTTCAATGTATCTAAAAACAAAAGCCTTTGTATGCTTCCAAGCTTTTATTAAATTGGCCATCAAATTTAACTTACATCATTATCCCACAATAAACATTGTTCGATTTTGAAAAAGTATTCCGGCGGAAAAGTAATATTTTTGCGCCCTGATTAGTTTTACCAAACTGAACTTATGATGTTTGTTAAACTTGATTATACTATGAACATAGCGGCTTTTACAGTAATCAACAGCTGTTATTTATGCAGTGTATTTTCAAGATAAGATCGCCATGTGCCTCTCCAGTAAATTCGGCAGAACAGTAAAGCTCTGGCTTCTGGCTTTAAAAAACATTAATCAAAAGGTTTGCCGGTGTGATGTTGCGGGCAAGTGAGCTGTTCTGTTTAAGAATATGTGCCTGCTTCGTAGTCTTCATTGTCAGAGAACTAATTAGCTACCTGACTAGTTTTGGTGATATTTTCATTTTGTTTTATGATTATAAAACTTTTTAACATAAAGAAATGATTTTGTTTGTGTCTTTACAATCTGCAATGAAACAGAAAACAATCTTAAAGGTGCAAGTCGGAATAGAACATTTGTCCGGTTTTCTTATATATATTTTCTTATCAAGTTCGTTAGTAACTATGTTCTTAGTCTAAGTCTTAGTTCAGGTACAGAAGTGTAGTTGTTGTAATGTTTCTTTTACAGCTTGTCTCACTTCTGTGATCTTCCAGCAGTACCGCAAGGGGTTTAACGACGAGTTTAAAAACACTAAAGTAACTGTAAATTCCTTATAGCAAGGTAAGTAGGTATAAGCATCCCCCCTTGAAGTGTTCTGAAAGCTACAGCTATACTGTACGGCAGATAACAAATAACCAATGTTACCTGCACCCACAGTGCACTGTACACTGCCTTTCTGTATCGAGCTTTATTCAGTGTATTTACTTGGCTCGATTGTCCTTGAACAACATGGTTCTGACCATGAATTTGGTTATGACGCAGAGACATGAAGATTTTTCTGTAGGCACAGATTGTAGTAACTAAACAAAAAGCTGTACTTATATATTGGTACTATGAAACTATAAGAAGACTAAGAAAGGAAGTAGATGCACCGACAACGGACACAATCCAAGCACCAATAGCATTTAAACGAGTTCTTTTCAAAGTTACAACTTGTCTGTATCTGAGACCCAGCAGCAAAGCAAGAAGTCTGTCCACGCTTACTGTAGTCAGGGTTATCAACGACGGGAGTGAACCCAAAGTAACACCTGCGAAATATGCGTAATAGCAAATATCCCATCTTTTGTTCACCACAGATATCCAATATGCAACGCTTAGAGGCTCGACAATGATACCAACGCAAAGATCGGTTATCGCTAGGTTACGATACAGGAGTTTGGATGACGGATGAATTGATGTGGCCTTGCGAAGGGCAACTAGGACCAGAGTATTCCCCCAAAATGCTGTAATTGACAAAGAAGTGTTCATGACAGAGAGAAAAACGAGCTCGCCATGTACCCTCAGTAAATTCCACAGAGCAGTAAAATTCTGCAAATTTTTGCGGGTTTTCACCTCCAGCAGTAAAATTTTTCATTTCCATGACTTTTCTGCGATGCGGCTACAGTCAACTGAACTCTTTTTTAATATATCTGTCCTCCTTATATGACTGCTACATGCACCTTGTCAGCAAACAATTTAATATTTGCTCTGTATTTTCAGTTTATAAACGATGGAATTCGACAATCTTGGTGTTGCCTTTGTGTTGCAGTGCGATTAGGGAAGAAATTTAAGAATTTGTTCATGCTTAGCGTGCGTGTATCGAATTATAGATGCACGCGGGAAGTTTGGAGAGCACGAAAGATGCGCAAGAGTTGCACGAGGCGATAGCCGAGTGCAACTCTAGCTTCTTGAGCGCTCTCCAAACTTCCCAAGTGCATCCATAACTCGAGAAACGCACAGCTAAAAGCATGAGCAAATTCTTTTATAACATAGCTGACAAAAATGCTTGCTTTTTGATTAACTGCAAAATTCTCGTAACGTGCGACACAATAACAAACCGTTCTATTGGCTGATTGTGAACACGCCACAATCGTCTTGATTGAATGAAAATATTCTTTCTGTAAAAGTGAGAAAAAAAAATTGCTTCTTTATTCCTTAACGATCAATGGAAACTAAGCCGAAACGAAGGTAAAAGAGTCTTAAAGTTGACTTAAATTTTTGAAAAATCCTCCGTGACATGTTCTTGAGAAGTAGTGGAATATGGTTTGGATTTGCTGAAAAGATGTTCACGTTTTGCTCGGCGAAATCCAGAAAAGATGTTTTTAGCGACGACGACTTCATTTACGAACATTGGCTGGTCATTACTGCTTCTTGAGAAGACCTGGCAGCAGCTGTTTCTGTGAGTAATAAATTTATGTCTCCTTGTGTAATTTGTGTTGTTATTGCGAGGGAAATTTTCCTGCTTCAGTTTGATTGTCCGGAGATAACAAAGTGCATAACAAATTTAAAAACAACAATAAAAACGGAAATTTTGCCTTTAAATGTTGTTGATGACCAGTTGGTGTCTGTTCTGTTCCCAGTGAATGTCTTTCGGCCAAAATTTGCTGCAGCTGATCTTCGACAAATTTGTGAAACGCGCAACTTTTAATTTAAAAAAAGTTTTTTTTAATTCGGCTTTATTTTTGCTGCTTGTTGGATCAGGACCTGAAAGGTCAATGCCGATAGAAAAATTGGCAGTTCTTCGCTCGTTTCTTACATATTTTAAAGAGAAGGAAAAGTGCACTGCAGCTTAAAAGGCGACAACTTTGCAGCCTGGGTAAAAAAATGCTTACGTCATGTTATTTACGCACGGGCGTGCGTAAATAAAGATTTTGTTCATAGCGGCTCAATAGGACTTATATAGGGCAAGCACGTGCGTTATGTTATAGTGTACTATTAATCGTCTCACCACAGCCAGGAAGTCTTAACAGTTATACACATGTTCAAAAAATGGGCTAAATTATGTCTGGGTCAGTTTGTACCATACTTACGAGATGGGAATTAAGGAGAAAAAATGCTTTACGTTCGTTTTTGCTGCTACCATTTCTCTTTTTAAATCCAGATTAAAAAGATTTCTTCTTAGTTGATTAACCATTTGTAAATAACACTTATTTTTTGCTGCTTTTTGTCTGTTTTGTCTGACACTCGATTTAATCCTTACTAATATTTCTGAATACTATCAGGATCCCATTGAACACCCGCCTTTCGGTCTATCTGATCACGCCTCAATTGAGCTCCAACCGAAAGAAAGAGCACATGTGAAGCAACCTACTGTCACCGTTAAAGCGAGGGATTTGCGCCCCAGTAAGCGCCAAGCAATGGGCACCTATTTGGAAGCTGTGAAACATGCGGAAAAAAGGTCTCGCTCCTGGAACAGATTATAACAACAGGACTTGATGATATTCTTCCCATTCAATCCCGAAGGGTGCACTCTACCGAGCCCCCTTGGATTACATCCACACTCAAAGAACTGATTCAAGCACGTCAGCGCGCCCTTTCCCGCGGGGATAATCAACAGTTTCGGGAGATAAGGAATCTTGTGAATGGCGAACGAAAAGCGTGTCGGGCTAAGTACTTTATTCAAGCGAAGGTAGAGCACCTGAAGGAGTCTAAGCCGTCCGCGTGGTGGAATGAAATCAAAAAGCTTAGCGGCTGTTCCCCGGCTGCCACGGAGAGATCTTACGTAACGAAGTCCCTACAACACCTGTATGGGCGTTCAGATGACATCACTCTTGCCAACATCATCAATAAGGCCTTTCTCTCGCCCATGCGAAGTTTCACACCGCTCCCTGCTGATTACGTCATACTTCCCACTAACAGCGCAACCCAACAACGTTAACCTGCGCTTGTTGTATCAAACGAGTCGGTTTATAAGAAATTGATGAAACTGAACAGAAGCAAAGCGCATGGTCCTGATGGCATCCCGGGGTGGGTATTGAAAGAAAATGCAGATTTACTGGCAGCGCCGATAGCAGATATTCTAAATTCATCTTATCGCGAAGATCGTCTCCCCCCCCCCTCATGGAAAGAAGCAGATGTTGTGCCGGTGCCCAAGCAAAGACCAGTGCAGGACATAAACAAACACCTTCGACCCATCTCCCTAATACCAAGATAGCGGAAGAGTACGTTGTCGACACTTATGTCAAGCCTGCTGTCCTCTCAAAGATCGACCCACAGCAATTTGGAACGGTGCGCAAATCCAGCATCACGCATGCATTAATCAGTATGATTCACTCTTGGGCGAAGTCAACGGATGGAAATGTGTCGACTACGAGAGTTGTACTCTTTGACTTCCAGAAAAAATTTGATTTGATTGACCATCATTTTCTGGCGCGGAAGCCCTCCTCCTATGATATTCCAAGGTCGATTTCGTGCTGGATCATATTTTAATGGACCGTAAGCAAAGGATAAAACTGAGCCGCGATTGCTTCTCGGAGTGGGAAGCTGTTCCTGCAGGGGTCCCACAGGGGACGAAACTGGGCCCCTGGCTGTTCCTTATCATGATAAATGATCTTTCTGTAGCAGACACAACTCTTTGGAAATACGTTGATGACACCACTCTTGTCGAATCAGTATCGAAGAACGAGAATAGCTACGTGCAGTTACGCATAGATGAACTTGTACGACAGTCGGAAGCTGATGGTTTCCAACTCAACGAGTCTAAATGTAAAGAACTGAGAATATCATTCTCTAGATCAGGAAGTTCTGTAGATCATATCACTATCAATGATAAGCAAATCGAAGCTGTCTCGTCCGCAAAGCTTTTAGGAGTGGTAGTTTCGGACAACTTTAGGTGGAACGCGCATTGTGAATCTATATACAAAAAGGCTGCGACACGCTTGTACTTCCTAAAACAGCTAAAGTGCGCTAAAGTTCCACCCAAGGATATGCTACTTTTCTATACAACATGTATACGCCCTGTATTAGAATATGCGTGCCCGGTTTTTCATCATTCTTTGCCGCAATATCTATCTAATGAAATGGAAAGGTTGCAAAAGCGCGCGTTGCGGATAATACAACCTGACTTATCCTACGCTGAGGCTCTAGTAGCTCTAAACATCACGTCACTGTACGAGAGGAGGAAGGCCTTGAGTAATGCTCTATTCGACCAAATTGCAAGGGACCAAAGCCACAAGCTTTATGATCTGCTGCCGCCACGCAACGGGTCCACTTATTGCACCCGTAGCCAGAGATACTTCAAACTACCGATTTGTAAGACAAATAGGTTTAAAAACACTTTTATTATGGCGAACGGATTTAATTATTAGTAGTAATCTTAATTATTAGTATTTTGGTGTTGATACTTCTCCTTTTGTATTTTATTGTAGGTTATATTTTACGGTTTTTATAGTAGTTATCAAATGTTTATAGATAATTTTTAGTTCCATTGTAAAGTAAGTCACATTTCAGCCGGCCCGGGGCTGCAATTGATTTTACTTCTTAATAAAGCTATCTATCTAGCTATCTGTTTTGTTTTGCTTGCTTTTTATCCTAATTATATTTCAGTATGACTTTGCCGCTTATTTATTCATTATGTTTAGTCTTAGGTTAGGGAGGCAGCTCATATAATAAGCCCCCAACGTTTCCATTTGAGCTTCCTCGCCAGAAAAGTTTTATTAAATTCTTTTACTTACAATTTACGTCTCTTTAATCTTTAAATAACATTTTTATAATATATTGAATATCTGTATGCATATGTATTTTTTTTTTCTGGCAAAACTAAACTGAAACTGAAACTGTTTGAGCTTAGGGAATTATTTGAATGTAACCTGTTTTTCATCATAATAATAGACATGAAAAAAATTCATGAATCTGAGGATTGGCTTAGAGCAATGAAGTTTTATTAAACAGAGAGCAAAAACGAGGAAATGTAATGCAAAAAACAAGGTAATAAAGTGTAAATAATATATATCACAGAATTGATTCCAGTGGTTGGCTAATAACCAAAAGATAAGCGTCCTTCTTATCGAAAAAATGCCTTGATACAAAATGATTTTTCGTTGTTTTAAATTGCCAAGTAGTAGAGTGAGTTGATTTTTTTGCTAAACCAAGTTCAAAAATCCAGGTAAAAGTATATATATCGTTATATATGTATACTTTCCCCATATACAGCAACTTGTATATAGCACCTCTATCTGTTGTTCGATTAGTTTACAGCTTGTTGACTGTTGTTCTTCTTCTCTTTGTTAAAGTAAACTGAATTACGTAGGCTAGTAAGCAATCCACAATTCGAGGTAAAACTTCCTCAGTTTGCCGGACCGCTACCCATGGCTAAGATTGATGCACTTACCTATAATTATTATTCAAATTAAAGTTTAATTACAAATAAAGTGAAAACTACCATTTCTCCGAGAAGACAAGTTTTTATTATGATTCAACAAACAATCAATTGGCCAAATCAACGTGTTCCTGTTTTTCTGTGCGACGCGCAATTCAAATTACCAAGCTCAGCCAAACCATCAAATCGAAGCAGTTTTCTCGCCGCTTTTTTTCCCGAGATATGCTGTCTTCAGTTGTCATGCGGGCCCGTAGGAACGAATTTGAAAGTGAGAGGGGACAAAAGTTAGCAGTGCTGGTGGCGTACTCCATTGTTATATGAACCCAAGGCCAATTTTTGTTAAAGAGGGGGTTTCGTGCCCTAGGGCCATGGTGATGTTCCATCCTTTAAGCATTGTATATAAGTCTTCTTTAGCTCTTAGCTGAGAAAGTACTACTAATTCCTGCAATAATTCGACCTCCCAACAGACTTTATTTTGGGTAAAACAATTTATACGATGGCAAATAACCACAGTAGGTAATAGTTAGTCATCTGAGCAATCCCCCGAGGAGGACTGATGAAAGCCCCTTCTCCTTCATTGATATCACGTTACCATGTGGATATTCTTAGTTTGCAACCACGTGACAAGGCGACCATGTTGGGGGTCAATACTATAGAATTATTTTCTCGAAGGATTTAAATGAAAATAGAGGTTACTTCCCAGAGAAATGAAATGCTTTTGTTAATTCTTGACCACCAACATGGCTGCTGTGACGTCACCTGCAAACCAGAAGTATAAGGGTTCACTTTTCATTATATCTAAAAACAAAAGCCTTCGTATGCTCGCAAGCTTTTATCAAAATGACCTGTGTTAGGCTACAAAACAATGTTAATGTGTATTTATTGGCCATCAAAATTAACTTACATCATCTACTGGCCCTCAATGATTATCCCACAAAAAACATTGTTCGATTTTGAAAAAGCACTCGGTAAAGTAATATTTTTTGCGCCCTGATTAGTTTTACCAAACTGAATTTATGATGTTTGTTAAACTTGATTATACTATGAACATAGTGGCTTTTATGGTTGTCAACAGCTGTAATTTATGCAGTGTATTTTCAAGATAAGTTCGCCATGTACCTCTCCAGTAAATTCGGCAGAACAGTAAAGCTCTTTGATTGTCTTCGGGCTTTAAAAAACATTAGTCAAAAGAGTTTGTTGGTGTGATGTTGCGATCAAGTGAGCTGTTCTCTTTAAGAATATATGCCTGTTTCGTAGTCTTCATTGCCAGACAACTAATTAGCTAACTGACTAGTTTTATTTAGTGATATTTTCATTCTGTTTTATGACTTTTTAACATAAACAAATGATTTTGTTTCTGTCTTTACAATCTGCAATGAAACAGAAAACAACCTTAAAGGTGCAATTCGGACAAGGACATTTGTCTGGTTTTCTTATATATATTTTCTTATCAAGTTCGTTAGTAAATGTTCTTAGTCTAAGTCTTAGTTCAGGTATAGAAGTGTAGTTGTTGTAATGTTTCTTTTACAGCTTTTCTCACTTCTGTGATCTTCCAGCAGTATAGAAAACGGGTTTAACGACGAGTTTAAAAACACTAAAGTACCTGTAAATTGCAAAGCAAGGTAAGTAGATAAAGGCATCCCCCTTTGAGGTGTTAAAGCTACAGCTATACCGTACGGCAGATAACAAATAACCAATGTTACCTGCACCCACAGTGCACTGTACACTGCCTTTCTGTATCGAGCTTTATTCAGTGTATTTACTTGGCTCGATTGCCCTTGAACAACATGGTTCTGAACATGAATTTGGTTATGACGCAGAGACATGAAAATTTTTGTGTAGGCACAGATTGTAGTAACTAAAAAAAAAGCTGTACTTATATATTGGAACAATGAAACTATAAGAAGATTCAGAAAGGATGTAGATGCACCGACAACGGACACAATCCAACCACCAATAGCAATTAAACATGTTCTTTTCAAAGTTACAACTTGTCTGTATCTGAGACCCAGCAGCAAAGCAAGAAGTCTGTCCACGCTTATTGTAGTCAGGGTTATCAACGACACTGAACCCAACGTAACACCTGGGAAATATGATGTCAAATATGCGTAATAGCAAATATCCCATCTTCTGTTCACCACAGATATCCAATATGCAACGGTTAGAGGCTCGACAATGATACCAACGCAAAGATCGGTTATCGCTAGGTTACGATACAGGAGTTTGGATGACGGATGAATTGATGTGTTCTTGCGAAGGGCAACAAGGATCAGAGTATTCCCCAAAAATGCTGTAATTGACAAAAAAGTGTTCATGACAGAGACAAAAACGAGCTCGCCATGTACCTCTCCAGTAAATTCCACAGAGCAGTAAAGTTCTGTAATTGTTTGCGGGTTTTCACCGCCAGTAAAATTTTTCATTTCCATGACTTTTCTGCGATGCGGTCAACTGAACTCTTTTTTCATATATCTGTCCTCCTTATATGACTGCTACGTGCACCCTGTCAGCAAACAATTAAATATTTGCTCTGCATTTTCAGTTTATTAAACGATGGAATTTGACAATCTTCAGGTGTTGCGGCCTTTGTGTTGCCGTGCGATTAGCGAGCAAATAGCACAATTGCCTGCATGGCTCTTAGAAAACGAGTTAAACTGTTAGTAATAAAAAGTCTATTAACCAAGTCTTGATCGATATTTCTTTTAAGCATATATTGAAACTGAGTAAAAAACGGTTTTCGTTAATTGCTAGAAGTTAAACTGACGCGCTCGTAATGTCATCGCAGGCAGTGAGGTCTCAGTAACAATGTAAAAATGTTCAAATAATGGGCTCGAAAGTCTGGGCCATTTACGAGGTGGGAATTAAAGAAAATAAAACGTTCGTTCGAGCTTAGGAAATTAGAATGTAACCTGTTTTTATCATAATAAAAATTATGAAAAAAAATTGAATTCCACGATTAGCTGAGAGCAATCACTAGCAGTTTTAGTAAACATAGTGAGAGCAAGAACGAGAAAATTCTGCTAACGGAGGTGTTATGTTTTTGAGCCGAACATATGATATGCAGTGCCGGAAACTGCCGCTTAAAAGTCCTGGGATTATACATCTTCGTAAGGGTTTTTAGAAGGGCTCTTGATAAATTAAACGGAGGGGCTTATATCCGAGGGGGATTATAACGGAATTGGAAAAAGCTGTTGGAAACAAGCTGCAGTGCTGATTTAAATATGTTTTGCAGTTACTGGTAAAAGCTTCAAAATATCATAATGAATCCTTTTCATTTCAATGCAAGTTAGAGGGGAGAATATATTGGCGAGCCTGTTACTGGTGGGCCTTATATTTAAGTGTTTCTGTATTTTGTAGCTTCAAATTGCTTGTGCCGTTTTTCTTCAACTTTGGATACCAGCACTAAATTGGCCACATTTTCTTTAGAAGAGGAAGTCTTCTTAACCGAGTATATCCCCAAACATGTCAAACTGTGTGGGCCATAACTTTAACATTTTGGGCGGTTTATTTGCAATTGCTTAAATAGCTATTTCACTACGTCAAGATTATATCTTCATTTAAATTGCTTTTTAAATTTATTTCCCCCGTTCACATGATCTCCCTGCCCGTCCAATTCGGACCTGTTATATGAAAGGTAAGATATTTGAAATTAAAAACACCATGGTGACGTTCATTCCGATTGAGTATAGTGAAGCGAAAATATTAACCAGGGTGATTAACATGGAACTTGCACCAACATTCACCATCATATTTAGCTATCCTCATTTGTCTTAGAGAAAAATTAGCTCGTCGTCACAACTCGCCGGTGAACTTACTTTGCGGCACAACGGACGCCGAGCTAAACAACCCGATTTGATGCATGCACCAGGAGTCGCACGCATTTTTCAAAGAAAAATATGAAGGCTTAATCCAAAGTAAAATTTAACTCAGGGTGTAAACGTTCAGCAAACTTTTGAAAGATAAACGCTTTGGAAGATTCATTAAACACAGATCGATAGTAGACCTTCAGCAAACTCTTAAATATGTAAGCTTTACGGCGAAGATTCAGCACTCTTTTAAAACATGAACGCTTTACGAAGACAGAATAGCAGACCTCAGCAAACGTTTGAAAGATGACACACAGTTAGCGTGTCAAAGAGAGGCAAAACGTAAGCAAGCGCCTCAAAGCGAGGCAAATGTGTGTCGACATAAATGCAATCTCGAAAAAACCTCCCTTATTAATTGCACAGGACACCCAATAATGAATAGAACACCAACAGAAATTAGGGGTTGCGTTCTCGTACCTCGAAAGCAATGATTGAACTTTAACCCACATATAAGAACCTGATTGATCTTGCTTGGCTAAACAGGTTCTTTTATGATTGGGTAAATTAAAGTGGACAATTTCCGCCAGCAGGTTTTTAAAACACTAGGTTCTTATACGCGGGTGTTTTCAGTAACACATTTAATCAGTATAAATTAGTATAGGTAATAGCATGATTTGTAGTGATATTTGGCGTAAATACCACGAGTGATATTTCGAAATTGTTATACGTAATTTCACGAGCCGTTAGGCGAGTGAAATTTAAACAATTTTGAAATATCACGAGTGGTATTTATGCCAAGTATCACGTACAAATCATGCTATTATTTGTTTATACTACTACCCACAAAAGGTTTGTAATTTTCACGTGTGGGTATTTTAAATTAAGCTGAAATACCACTGCTCTAAGCCAATGAAATTGGAGAAATTTCTCATGAAGTAGTATAAAGCCAGTAACTGAGTCACGTGATATACCGCTAGCCTGAACGCAAAACTGAAATTCTCTAGTGAAATAAATTCTGCTCGCGGCTTTCCCCATTTTACTGGAGTATATGGGCTTTGTGTATCGCAATGTTCGCTTGTATAAAAAATGATTCAACTACAACCTTTCAATTCTTTTCGGGGAGGATTTTTCCTTAAAACAAGTTTTGGTTTGGAATGAATTTATAGCTAAAAAGCATGCACAGTAGACCATGGTAAACTAACCGCTCCATCAACGGACGAGTCGCCTTAATGTTTCTTTTACAGCTAATTTCACTTCTCTGATCTTCCAGCAATAAATAAAGGGGTTCAGTGATGAGTTTACATAAACTAAAGTACTTGTAAATTGCCAAGCAAGGTAAGAGGATAAATGCATCCCTCTTTGATGTATTAAAGCTATCGCTATGATAAGTGGCAGATAACAAACGACGAATGCTGCCTGCAACCACAGGGCACTGTACACTGCCTTTCTGTATCGAGCTGTGTTCATTTGAATTGCTTGACTTTCTCCTTGTAAGGGGTGGATCCGATGAATTTGGTTAAGACGCAGACGGAAGAAAATTTTTGAGTATGTACCTATGTAGTGAACATACTCTCGTATAGCTGTAAAAGCTGGTACGCCAACAACAGAAACAATCCAGAAGGCAAGTATATAGCTATGTATGTCTTTTTCACAGTTACAACTTGTCTGTATCTGAGCCCCAGTAGCAAGGCGAGAAGTCTGTCCACACTTATTGCAGTCAGTGTTATTAAACACACTCCACAAAAGGTATAAGCTGCCAAAGTAACTATCAAATGAGCCAGATAACAAATATCCCATTTTCCCGTCACCACAGAAATCCAATAGGAAACATGTAGAGGCTCTGCAATGGTACCAACACAGAAATCAGTTACGGCGAGGCTACGATACAGGAGTTTGGACGGCGGGTTAAGTGAAGTTTCTTTGTGTAAAGCAACTAGGATCAGAGTGTTTCCAAGAACTGCTGTAATCGACAGAAAGATGTTTACAATTGACAGAAAGATCAGTTCGCCTTGTACCTCTGCAGTAAATACCGCAGAGCAGGATAGTACTACGATTGTTTTCTGGTTTTCACCTTCAGTAAAATTCTTCAGTGTCATTTTGCCTGCGATACGCGCAAAAGAGTGCTATATTAATATACCGATATGGGGCTCTCCTTAGCTGTTTTACCTTTTATTATCGAAACTAATATTAACTAAGTGCGCAGTATTTACTTATTTATCACTTGTTTGAGATGGCGCACCTTAGAGGTTCCATTTACAATTGCCTGGAGTTTGACTGACGCGTATATTGCCCGGACGCTAAAATCTTAGTGTTCAATTTTGAAAAAGCAATATTTAAGAGAAAGTGTTATTTTTGGGCCTCAATTATTTTACCTAACTGGACTAATGACGGATAGCTTTAATAATAACTTGACGGTTCTTTCGGTATAAACACCTGTTACTTTTCTTAATGCGTGTTTATTTGTCCTCACCATTTTGTCTGCGATGTTATTGAACGAGGCGGAAGTGAGTGGTTTATAGTTAAAGAGAAAAACACTTCTTAAACGGTGAAAGGTGATATCGATTACTCATTTTACTAAACACAAGAGTAGCTCGTGTGTAGACTTCTTCTAAATTCCTCCTCCTGACTGGAAGTTTTCCTGAATACAAGAACTGGAAAAAGCGTTCGAGAGCATGCCATTCAATCGACATTTCCGACTATTCCGGTAACACTTTGTTAAACGGAAAATTTCCATATTTATTAGCCGATTATGATTTTTAATTTGGCTGACGACTGAAATTATTTTTCTTTTTCTTTTATCCGCTGAAGGTTTGTCTTCCAGGCTAAAATATTGGGTAATTTTACTGAAAGTATATTTTTCCTTTTTCTATCTGATTTTGATTATTCCTTCATCGCTTCGTTGCCGTCAGGATCAGTTTGCTGTTTATATATTTCTTGCATACTGCCAGCTGACTGCGGAAACCCTCAGTGAAGCCCTCAAAGGGGGAGGTGGGGGTGGGGGAGAGGGGGAGCTTATTTATTCCAAACATGTTTGATGGGTGGGGGGGAGGCTTAATTGACAGGTGGGCTTGTTTAATTTGGGGCTTTAGATATTGCCTCTTCAAATAACTAGGAGGGGTGACGAATGGTCTTTGCGAGCATTCCCGAGTATGCCTAGCACTGCGATTTTTTTGCGAGCACGACCAGAAATAAAAAATTTGCTTTGCGAGCTTGCGAGCAACTCCAACAATTTGGGGAACACGAGCAAGCGAGCACTCGTTTAAATTTTGCGAGCAAATCGAGCAAAGGTAAAATTTTGCGAGCAGTTAAAAATTTTAATGGATCATTCCCCCATGATCACCCCTACTAGAGGATGGTGTCGTCAGTGGTATGGTCTGGTTCAATTCTCCATGAATAACTAGTGGGAACGCTAAGTGGAAAATCTCTAGCATCTGTAGTTGGAAGTCATGCCGCCCTATTTAAATCCCAACTTCCAGACCGAGAATCTGATGAATAAACCATACCGGATCAGTCAACATGAAGTGTTAAAGTAGTGATTAGTCAATACGAATAGTCCGTACTGTGTATCATTATTCATAATAAATTTCGTTTGGACCAATGAATAAGGGGCGGGGGGATTGAAAAGGGGGGCTAAGAGAAGAGGGCTTAACAGAAGATTTATCAGTTTATGGGTGTGATGGTATATCAGTGCGAATTTTTATTAATGTTCCAAGACGCTCTTTAGAGTCAGGTAACAGAAATTGGCCGTAAAACAAACTTCTACTCTGGGGCCACAAAACACATCGTAAACAAGACCAGGGCGTAATAAAATTTGGCAAAATTAAGTCCCTGGTTCTTAGAAAGGCTCGGCAGGGTCAAGTTACCAAAAATTGCCGTAAAACAACTTCTGCTTTGGAGCCACAAAACAAATTGTAAACAAGATAAGGGGGTAATACAAAATTAGCGAAATTAAGCCCCTGGTTATAAACACGCTCGACAGAGTCAGGAAAGAAAAAATTGCCCTAAAACAACTTCTGCTCTGGGGTCACAAAACACGTTTATTTAGAACAAAAACCTGTGGGTTTTGCTTAAAACAAAAACGAAAGCATAAGCGAAACAATAGCTCAGACATGAAAATGCAGCAACTTATAATAACACGAACCTTAAAAAACCCAACGGGAATGCAGCATGCAAGTAAAGCAAATTCATGCACTGACTGTGCATGAATAAAACGAGGAAGCGCGAATACTAAACAGCGTAGGACAAAACAGGCATATGAAATGAAAAAACTGAAAACCCCGCATGCGGAAATACAGTAAGAAATCGCGGACATACTGCGAGAACTGGACAAGAATTGACTGCTATCCCGCATAAGATTGGAGAAATACCGAAGCCAACAAATGTACGTCTCACGGGATCTATCAGAAGGAAATGATCGATGAAACTAAGGAATTGCAACCTGAAAGCCACAGGTAATCCGACAGGGAATTAGACTCCCTTGTATGACTTGTAAGACTGAAATCCCGGGAGCGGCTGCAGAAAAAGAATAACAAGGAAAGGATTGGAAAGAAATACAACCAAAGCAAAGAATAAAACTAAGAAAACACTGCAAACAAAAGGGAAAAAGTGCAGAGAATTCAGAGGCTGAATACTGACCTTGAAAATATATGTGACCGGACCTATAAAATCTAGGTTGCAAAACAAGATACTTAACCGCGAGCATAGCTTAAGAAATTGAGGAGGATGGAAATAAAAACAGGAGGCAGGAAGGAAGCGGCGAACGCTAATGAAAATACAACGGGAAAGGCGAAAGGGTGAGGAGGGAAGGAGTTTGACGAGCACGTTTAATGAGGCCATGATTAGACCTGTGTGTCTTGTCTTGAAGATGATGATGAATGCATGGTGTATGTCTTATATAGTCGCTTGGGCAAGACTATGCAGAAAGGCACTAAACTAGTGTGCAGAAAGACACTGACTAGACACTTAATTAATCGGCAGGAAGGCACACTTTTTCCCAACCCATTTTCCCCGGGTTATAACAATGGGTGACGTCATAAACTCGACCCTTATGCATATCAATGATTTACCTCGACCTTACTCGACACTTACTCGACACCAACGAGGCTTAATTCTGACCCTGTATGACTATTTATGCTACTGTATTTTAAATTTATTTTTGATTTTAATGATACACCAGTAAGCAACACAGGTGCTAGAGTAGTGCCAACGATTCAAGAGGGCACACTAGTGAACAGCACACGTACACTTCCAGTGAACATTTATTTTAATGATACACTAGTGAACAGCACACGTACACTTCCAGTGAACATTTTCACTTGTGCCTGGAAGATGGAGAAACCATGTAAATTACAGTACAATTCCCTGACGGTTTTCTGGCTGGTGTCTCTGTGATGTAACTGAGTTCAAATGAACTGTTCTCTTTCTGTAGCTTATTGATAGTCAGTCTTCATTGGGTCTTCATTGTCAGAGAACTAATTAGCTAACTGGTGAGTAATATTTTCGTTTTGTAAGATTACTCTGATTATTAACTTGCATGTTTAACATAAAAAAATGGGTTTGTGGGCTCAATTTCCGCCGTGGAGGACTGAGGTCAATCCCCCTGTTTTTTTTTTTTTTTTTTTTCAATTTTTTCAAGCGTATTTTTTCTGGGCTCCTCTCTTTTTCAATAGCCATGAAAGCTCTTCTTTTATGTTTGAGACACATTTGATTTGAATTTTTACGCCGGCAATGGTCTTTTTGCTTAAACTAAAAACAAATTAAAGCTTTCTTTGCTCGCTAGATTTTATTAAAATGCCCTTAATTAGGCACAAACATTGTTAATGGGCTAAAATGTTTACCGCAAATTAAAATTTGTTCAAATACGGCGCTTATCATGAAATATTGTCAAATTGAGTAAAAGCAATGTTTTGGAAAAAAAAGTCATATTGCCGCGACTTATTTATTTTTACCGAAACGAACGATGAATGAACTTATGTTGATCGCTATTTGACGACCACTTTGGTCGTTTTCGTTCCATATGGAACGATTCATATTTTCCTTCCTATACCCAGTTAGCTTTCAGTTCAAGCCTTGTGAGGCGTACGTATCTGCCGTATTAAGTTAGTAAGTAGCAACAACATAGCAATGATATATCTTTCCACCGAAAACTCGTTTTGGAAATATTGACCAATCGTGAGAGCTACACACAAAAAAACAAGTAAACCTGAGTAAACTAAGTAACACTTTTGGGAAAAATTTACTGCCAATTTCGCTGTTCACCGAAAGACACAGAACATAAAGTATCTTCCCTGCATAGTATACGTAATTTCCCTCTCCGGAACACTACAAGGAAAATGGGTACGAGCTTTCGGCGCAAAGATTCCTGGGACCGTTTTGGTGGACAAGCGTTACTTCTGACTGGCTAATTGTCCAATCAAGCGCGCGCACGATCCCAGATATCACTGAGCCCAAAGCTTGTACTCATTCTCCTAAGAGTTTCTGAAGTGGGGAAAGGCAAATATCCTGTCTCTTTTTGAAAACGGAAATCCATTATAAATCACAGCAATAGACTCCAGAACAATACCAACACAGAGGTCAGTTATCGCCAGGTTACCATACGGGAGTTTGGATGGCGGACGAAGTGACGATTCTTTGTGTAAAGCAACTTTAGACAACGAAACAATTGTTAAAGTGCAGTATTCATTGTTCACAAAATTTATATTTAACAATTATTCCAAGAGTGCGTGTTAGAAATGAGATGGTGGGGAGCCAACGAGGCGCCTAGCGCCAAGTAATCATCTATCATAGTGACGAACTAACTATGAGAGAATGACTGGAGAACTGACAATTTTGACTAACAATAGACGACTGTTTAACTGTGACAATAGACGGATCGAAACGCACCAATTACTGATTACGAGTCTTCATAGCCAATAACATCACGGCTTAACTGACAGACGATCAATAACATCGCGACGTAATTGACCAATCAGATCAATAACCATAGTATAATACCATCAACTGACGTGATACAACTCACTTTGACTCTGAAGATGACTAC